GGTGCGACGGTCGCCGCGAGAAGCACCGACAGCTAAGATACTCTTCTCAGCTGCAGCAAGGCGCTCCTCTAGCAAGTCGACAGTCAGCTCGGTGGGGCAAAGGGAGAGGAAGTGATCCCTGACTGAGGAGAGAGAGTCAGGGAGGCGGGTGACTAGGTAGTAAAGGATGATGTACATGGGGGGGGAGTTCGTAGGAAGAAACTCAGTGGGAAGGGCAGCGCGGTAGCGAGCGTCACTAGTGCAGAGGTGAGCAACTAGGTCAGCAACTGTGGCAAAGGCGGTAAGGTCAGGAAAAAGGCAGCATGAGGCGGCTGAGGGCAGCAGTGGTAGGGGAGGAGTAGCGTGCAACTACAGCGTCGTACAGAGCCCTAGCACTCTTGTACTGACTAAAGTGCGCGCGCTCAGTAGACGGCAGGTGATTACGCACAGCAAGACGAGCAGCAGCATCGCGCGTGAGCCACTGCGAGCGAACAGTACTGTCAGCATCAGCAGCAGGGGCAGTAGAGGCGCCAGACGTGAGATCGAACAGTGAGAGGCCTTCCTTGCTATCGCACTGTAGGAAAAGCTGCAGATCATCTAGCCAGACCTCAAAGTCAACAGCGCGACCCTCAGCATCAAAGGTAAGAACATTGAGACTAGCCATGACAGGAGCAGCAGCAGGCTAGCAGCAGCAGCGGTGCAACTCGGCAGGGCAGGCTAGGCAGGGCGGCGCGGCTCGGCAGCGCGGCGCTCTTACCAGTGGCGAGGCCGGGGCAGGGCCGGGGTAGGGCCGGGCCGGGGCCGCAAAAGATCCGGGGCCGGGTTGGGCAGGGCCGCGACAGTGCAGGAGCAGGGCAGGGGCAGGGCCGGGGCAGAGCCGGGGCAGGGCCGGGGCAGGGCCGGGGCAGGGTCGGAGCAGGGCCGGGCAGGGGGCAGGGCCGGGGCAGGGCCGGGGCAGGGCCGGGGCAGGGCCGGGGCAGGGCGGAGCAGGGCCGGGGCAGGGGGCAGGGCCGGGGCAGGGCCTGGGCAGGGCCGGGGCGAGGCCGCGACAGGTCCCGGGCAGGGCCGGGGCCGGGCCGCGGCAGTGCAGGAGCAGGGCCGGGGCAGAGCTGCGACAGGGCCGCAGCAGGGCCGGTGCAGGGCCGCGACAGGTTGGGGTAGGGCCGGGGCAGGGCCGGACGGGGCCTTACGGGGCCTGACGGGGCCTGACGGGGCCTGACGGGGCCGCTAACGGGGCCTGACGGGGCCGTACGGGGCCTCTAACGGGGCCTGACTGGGCCTTACGGCGCCTGACGGGGCCGCAAACGGGGCCTGACAGGGCCTTACAGGGCCTTACGGGGCCTTACGGGGCCTTACGGGGCCTAACGGGGCCTTAAACGGGGCCTGACGGGGCCTTACAGGGCCTTACGGGGCCTTACGGGGCCTTAAACGGGGCCTTACGGGGCCTTACGGGGCCTTACGGGGCCGTACGGGGCCTTAAACGGGGCCGTAAACGGGGCCTTACGGGGCCTTACGGGGCCTTACGGGGCCTTACGGGGCCTTAAACGGGGCCGTAAACGGGGCCTTACGGGGCCTTACGGGGCCTTAAACGGGGCCGTAAACGGGGCCTTACGGGGCCGTAAACGGGGCCTTACAAGGCCTTACGGGGCCGGCGCTGGCTCTAAGGGCAGGCGCAGGGGCCGCTACGGGCCTCGAAGGGCAGGCGCGACGCGCGCGTCGAGCAGGTAAGAAAAATTTCAGTGGTGGGCCCTTTTTAAAAAAAACTCGAAACTAGCTCTATACCATGTGAGATAGCTGACGAAAGAATGAATCAACTAGGAACTGAGGTGGGTACAAGTAGAAAATATAAGTGTTGTACCCTCTAAGAGCTACCCCACTACAGCCTAAATAGACTATAGCAGATATAAGTTTGACAGTCGATGGCGTACCCCAGTCTGTCGCTGTGGAAGGCCTTAGCTGTGAGGGTGATGATTCTGATGGCACATCACATGCTGGGCAGGGGGATCAGCATCCGTACGATCCGCTACTGCAACATGTTCACTCACGTCCTTCTGCCCATCACGAACAGCCCGGGGGAATCGTCGATCCTCGTTCTCGTGGTCGCCTATCGCAATTCGAAAACCGTCAAAGACAACAAGCTCGGCCACTTGTACCTGACTCGACACATGGACTTCCAGCAGTGCGGCTTTGGAGCAGTTTTCCTCTGGCTACACTTCCTTTTCGACCTCGTGCCGCTCTACTACAACGAGAATATCGTGCCCCCCTTGGATTTTTCAAACCCGGAGGCCTGGTCGAAGAAATACCTGTTCTTTGCCCTCTTCGACAAAGAGAAGACAGAGATGCCTTACCCGACGCACAACAAATGGGTGACATGGGCGATGAATAACGCTGTGTGGATCCTGTCGAAAGTCACGCACATATTTCGACGGTCCGCGGCACAGATCCTCGCGGACAAGAACTTAGACCTCGATACCATCGCACAGCTGGGTCAATGGGACATGAACGAGATGCGCAGGTCATACGTCACAGGCATCCCGCGCCCGGCCATCCAGATGCAAGCGGGTTTCTCGCAGGAACCGGGCGACTATTACATCGGAAGATCGAAGACCAAAGTGCCCCCGAAGGTCGTGAAGGCTATCGAGGAGCACATCTTTCCTAAGGCGGAGCTGTGGCTCGTCGAGGTCCGTATCTGTCGAGCACTTGGCGTCTTCGTCGAACGCAAGTTTTGCTCGCCCATCCATCTATCGATGTCACCCCGTTCGTTTTTGTTCAGGCCCAGGAGTGGAACAACGAGCAGGACAAGGAACATATGTACTACGCAGCGAAGAGTTTCTTGGAGGCCCTGCTAGCCGCCCGAATGCCTATCGCAGAGGATCTTGCGATGTACTACGTCCATTGTGAGGACCACCCCTTCGACGGGGTCAGCGTTTGTGACTGCGAGCGTCACCCTTACGTCCAGATGTCGGGTTTGTGCAAGGACGAAGATTTCCAAAAATGGGCGCTCGACGTGTACACGCTCGACAAGTACGGCATCGAGATGCGGACCAACCCCACGATGTCGAGAGCGACGGTAAGATGGTCCTTCCAAAACTATAAGCGACGACTTTGCATCAGCCCACTGACTGCACGTGTTCTTGCGTGCAGGACGTATCCTCTCACCTCAACACCAAGCACCTCGTCACGCAACTTCGGGCCGAGATAAACCTCCACAAGGAGGAGGGAGGGAAAAAGGAAATCCAGATCAACCACCTCGAGAAGCAGGTCGAGTCATTGGAGCGGGAGAAGAGCTTGATGAAAACTGAGTTGGAGGCGAAGACAGAGGCGTTCGCGCAACTACAGAAAGCGTTCGACGCATTGAAGAATACCGCGGCGACAAGCGCAGCTGCAAATGTGGGGGAGAGCGAGAGCATGCCGCAGACGGCAACCGAGGAAGCCACCCCGGATCCACAGCAAGCCCAACAAGCCACGCCCTCTCGACAGAGCGTGGGAAGCCAGCTCGACCAGGCGTTCTTCGACGCGGTGGTGTGGCCGTGGTGCAATTGCGAGACCGTGCGGAAGGCGTGGTCGTACTGGGACGGGGCAAGCCCACTGAACAACGGGCTTAGTCTTCGACAGGCTTACAAGAGCGGCTTCGCCGTCAAGTTCTGCAAGTTCACACCGACTCCACCCCCCGTAACCCCCGAAAAGGAGGCCCTGCCAAAAGAAAATCCACCAACCGCAAAAGCTATCGAGACGAAAATGCGGAAAATGGAGGCTGTCATGAAGGCCGTCGAGCATTTCCGGATCGACGCCAGCAGCGCGGATACGTCGACGGTCATCGAAAAGCTGGACTCAATTGTGAAGGGCCACTCGATCAACATGCTTTCGGAGGGCATCGTTCTCAAGGAGGATTCTGGGAGGCAGCTCACGAAAAAGCACGAAGTCGGGTCTGCAGAGGAAAACCGCAAGGACAAACAACGCCTCAGAATCACTCTGGAGCTCATTCGCGTCGAGCTCCGAACCGCAGAATGGGCGGAGAGGGTGTTCGGCAGAGAGAAATGGAAAGAGTTCACGGCAACAACTGGCGCGCGGCCTTCGACGCGGCCTAGTTCGACGGGAAACCGTGACGAGGGGGGACCCTAGTGTAGGTTGTTCAGGGTTTACATGGCATCTTCCCCTAATGCATGTTTTGACACCATCTCGACAAGATGAACCAATTGAGCATTCTCGAAAACATAAAGTCAAAGAACATGTGTCGATCAACCTATCGAAACAACAAACACATCTGTCGAATGATGCAAAAACCCCCACGCAATGCGCCCACCTATACTACTCCCCTTGCCCGCCTGTTTCCGCCTCTGTTGCCTCCTCGTCGCCCAGCTTCGCCAATCTCTTTTCTTCTGGCATAGCCAGGTTCCCATAGCCCGCGTCCTCCAGCAAACGGGCAGCAAATCGACAGCAGCACCATTGAGTACAGACTTGTGCTGCCACGCGCACCATCTGCAACAGGGTGGCGTCAGTCGAGCCGAGGCCTTCGACAGCCGACGAATATAGCAGATCGGGCCACTGCTTGGCCGGGAATGTCTTGCCGACGTGCAAAAGTACGGACAGCAGCGCAGCCATGGCAGCCGCACTAGCCCGTGTCGCCATCTCCGGGGCGTAGAGTGCTGCGTTTGCGGCAGCCAGGGCATCCTTCTTAATATCTTCCCTCGACAACTTCCTGCAGGCCGCCCACAAGCTTGCCACGGTTGCTGCGACGGCCATCATGTGCGCAGTCCCGTGCATGTTCTTCGGGACCGGATAAATCACGTTCCCGTGCCTCCGGCCAAGCGTCGCAACCTTCCCAATCGCCGCGCACAGCGCAATTCCCCAGTCGGTTCCGGCTCTCACTTCCGTATTTGTTGTTGCCAGCAGCGACCGGAAACTGCAACTCGAAACAAATGCGTTAGTCAGATGGCACGACTTCGACAGGAAATCTGACAGCACTTCGACGGAAAGCACAAAACGGCTACGACAGTCAAACTACAGGACTTCGACAGAACTCACTCGTCGAAACGACATTCCCCTTGTTCTTGCGCCACGCTCCAAACGCCGGTGGGCATACGCGCTGCTGCATCGAGATAGACCTTCCAGTCCTTCTCATCCTGCGCCGTGAACCCCTCGTACTCCTTGAGGTCTATGTCGGGGAAGTACACGCGCCAGCAGATGGCCGTACAAAACTTCTGGTCCGCCTCCGTTTCAAAAGTGCCCAGGAACCGCTTCCTCGAGCCTACGGTCTGCTCGGAAACCGACTTCCCCTTGCGCGACATCATGCCCGGTCCTTTGAAGGGAGCTTTGCAGCCTCTTGTCTTGCCTTGGTCGTCCGGCGGAGGAGGTGGGGCGTAGCCGATCACCTTGGGCTTCTTCGACTTTTCGTGTCGAGCAGCAACGACGGTAGAAGCCATCTCGACGTCACTGCTCTCTGTTGCCTCTGCAGCCCGCTTCGTCGACTTCGTCACAGCTTGCCTTTTCTTCGACGCAGAAGGGGACCTTGGCCTCGGACCAGGAGGAGGGGAACCCGGTTCGCTAAGGGAGACGTCGCCTAAAACGGACGACGGCCTCTTTCCCACAAGCTCGACAGGACGACCAGCAATGCCGAGCTGTGCAGCTGAGTCCGCCTTTGTCTTCGACAGCAACCCAGCAGCGACGGCGACCTGGCTGGGAGCACCCCGTTTCTCCCCCGCTCCTTTCCCCGCAGCGCCTCCGGACGGGGTAGGGGCACCTCGCTTTTCCACGGCTCCTTTCCCGGCAGGGGCGACCTGGCCGATTGGGGCACCACTTTTCTCCCCCGCAACCACTCCTTTCCCACCCTTTTTCCCGAGGCCCTGCAGCATGTTCCGCAGCGGAGCAAAAGCATCAGGCGGAGGCTTCGGTGCCGCTTCGGAGGTCTGCTGACGGGGCGATTGGTCGAGTACGATGACATCCTTGTCCTCGACGGACTTGCCGACGGTCTGACGGGCACGCGACGGTGGGGATGCTACCGGGCTGCCGACATGTCCTCCCACCGAAGAAGAAGGAGGAACCGGGCGCTCATGAACTCGACGCTCAACCCCGCTGCGAACACCAGCCACCCCCTCCTCCTGACGCGACCTCGTCGACGGGCCCGCCGAGCCCCGAAACCCTCTCGCCACCGCTTCGGTGAGGACTTCCAATCTGCCAGCTTCAGCTTCTTGGTAGCTTTCTCTCACAACGTCCTTCAGCTCCTTCATGCTCTCGGCCGGGAGGGTGGAGTAGAACAAGTCCTCCTTGACGGCTTTCTCAATACCCTTCACGACCGAAGCAACCAGCCGCTCTTCGACAAGCTTGAGCTGCTTCTCGACGGCGTCCTCGCTCGCTTTTGTGATAGCGGCTGCCACCCCCTCGATGATTTTCCCGCTCATCTCGTCGAGCTTCGAGTGTGCCCCTTCCAACACCTTCCTCTCCTCCGTGACACCGTTTACGGCATCGCCGCACTGCTTCAGCGTGCTCTTCGACGACTCCGAAATCGTATTCCAGGCCGTCCGAAAATCCCCAGCAAGCTTGTTGAAAACAACGGCTTGCTCACTGTGCTTCGCAAATACGTCCGCGACGAGCTTCTTCTGTGATGCCTCGACCTCCGCGACTCTCTGCAGTAGCTCGACGACCTGGTCTCCGGATGCAATGTCCGACGTCGAACGGCCTGCCGTCGAAGGGCCCACCTGTCCGCTGCCACTGGCCGTGCGGTGTCTCCTTCTTACTGCGACGAGTCGCTCCTGCGCAGCCTCCCCGCCCTCCTGCTCCTGCCCTCCGACCCCACCCTCCTGCGCAGCAGCCCCGCCCTCCTGCTGCTGCACTCCTGTCCCGAAATCCTGCCCAGCTGCTCCGCCCTTCTCCTCTTCGACATCCTAATCGTCCCCCGTCGCGTGCTGCTCGTCCACCCGCTCCCCGAGCGCCACTCCGTGCTTCTCCGTACGCTCCGTCCAACCTGGATGTAACCCTAAACCCTCGCCGTCATGCTCGATCGACTCATCGCTCGAGCTCGAGCCGGAGCTCGATTCCGAGCTCGAGCCCTCCTGCTCGTCCGCATTGTCGCCCGAGCCGCTCACCCCGTGCTGAGCTTGTCTCGATGTATCCTCCTCGATCTCCTCCTCCTCCTCGTAGCTGTACTCAACCACGACGCGTGGCGCCCCCTCGCCTCCTCCCTCGTGTCCGGCACCCCCTCCCACTCCTACTCCCTCCGCCGCCTCGTCCATCCTTTTCCAAAACAGTTTGACCATGAACGACGGAAGCAAACCCGGGCCAGGGCTCGTTCTCCCGAGCATCACGAGGTCGCCCTGTCGAGGCTGCAGGATGAAATTGTCCCAGTTCGACAGAATCCGGCGCACACCATGCACCACACGAGCTGCCGCGCCAGGTTCACTGGGGCTCGTCAGGGCCGCCGTCGTCTGCGACGGGTATAAAACACACGTAAGCAACAGAACAAACATGCTCGACGAAAACATGCACGGGTAAGGGTAAGGGTTGGCTTACCAGATGATCGAAACTCGTGATCATGTCCAGACGCAGGTCGATGAGGCTAAGCACCTCCTGCTCGTGCTCGGTCACAACCCGCTGGGTCGTCGCGCACTCGGCGCGAAGCTGCTTCTTCATCCAACTGCAAAGCAACGGACGGGAGAGTAAGAGATTGTCGAGAACGGCAAGTCGACAGCAGGGTGGCAAATCGGTCACTCACACGAGAACTTCATGCGCCAGCGAAGATTGGTGGTTCACCAAGGGAAACCTGTCTTTCGAATCGAAGTGCATCATTCGAGTTCGACAGCCATGGTGCCTCGGAGCCAGCAGATCGTCGGGGCGCGATACCACAAACAGGCTCGAGTGGGAGAACGGCGCCACAGTCAGGCTGCATGCAGAGCGAATGCACGTGAGCACGGGTTTAGTACTAAACACGGAGCACGCAAGGCGACGGGATAGTGTCGAACTCACGTGGTCCGCAGCAGAACAAGGGGTTTAGTACTAAACACGGAGCACGCAAGGCGACGGGATAGTGTCGAACTCACGTGGTCCGTAGCAGAACGAGAATCACTTGCTTGCCGAGCAGGCCGTCGAGGTGGTTGTTCGCAAAAGCGACCGGTGTGGGACGCGCCATCTCTTCATGTGCACGCGTCAAAGTCACGATCGACAGCTTGGCGAGCTGCTCGACGGACAGCAGCTCCCTCGAAAACAGGCTGCACGGAAAGCTAAGGCACAGTCAGCGACAGGTAAACATGGCAAACCTAAAATGCTCGACAGGAAACGTACACAACGCCCGCGATCATCATCATCTCGTCGAGCTCCGCCTTCGGCGCCTCGCTAAGCGCATTCAACTGGTCTTCGAACACCTCCACATCAATCCCGCCTGCGGTTAAGATGAGGCCGCGTCGAACCGTCGGCTCGTTCACGACGGGTAGGGAGGCGGGTCCCGTAGCCATGACAGGCCTAGCAGTAGGGAGGGCGGGAGCACAGGGAAGTTGGGAACTAAGGACTAGGGAAGAAAAAGTCGGAGACTGCAACGAAATGAGAACGCACTCAGGGTATTTGTTGTGTTTGCCATCCCCTCCACCGAGACAGCGGTAGGAGGAGCTTATGGCAGAGGGCGGCGGGGCCTTGTATTACTGGTTGCTTGCATGAGGGTTGCTTGCATGAGGTGGGGCACCCTGCATGCAACTGAAAGGCCCCTCTCAAGGAGCGGGAGGGGGCGTTCGACACATCACCACGGTCGAGCGCCAACCGAAACGGGCCCCGTCGAGGGCGAGAGCGGTGGAGCGCGGCGCAGATGGGCGTCCGCTCGCGAGAATTCGCGGACGGGTTCCGTCGGCGAGGCGACGCCCGGCGAGGGTTCGCTTGGGTTACCGGACGGAACCCGTCAACCGAACCGAGGGTGGGGTTCGGTTCGGTTGGGGGGGCGACCGCTGGCAGCTGGCGCCAGCTGGGGGTGCCCGTTTTCGGGCGTGGGGGGGGGGTCGGCTCCCGCCCCTCGCGTGCCCCGCTAGGCGACTGCGGGAAAACGCAAATCCCTCCGGGGAAATCCCGCAGGGGCAAAGAGGGGGGATCGGAGGGATCTCGCTGATATCTTCCCAATAGAACGTATGGTTTGAAAGATTACCGCTCTGAAACGTATTGAAACCTACTTGAACAAAGCGCTTGACAAATATACCATTTTCAGCCGTTCAGGCGGTACGGTTCGTTTGTAAAAAATCCCAAAAGTTCCACGCCCTTAACGTTGTCGGTAGGCTTCATTGCATTTTTCGTTAGAGCACTTGCGATGTCGTTAACGATCGGACCGCTGATGGAACTCATTGCATAAATCCTACCCATATCTTCTCCCTACTTCGATCTCCCTCTTCGCCATGGCTAGTCGCCGTCACTCTTGTCAAAGACTTTCATTGCTAACAATGTCCACCAAAACATTGTCAGTTTCAGCATCTGAATCTCTTATTGGAATCTACGCATGGGGAACTTTATGTGTGATCCTAAGACACCAACATTGTGCTCACACACAGAGCACTGGGTCGTCAAGTTTTTTCCTGTGTGATCCTTTCCTTCAGTCACTGAACTGCACATGGTTATCAAGGCATTACTCCATTCGTCCTAACGAAATAAAGACGGTTCCAGCGCTACGTCCAAGAGGGCAAAAAGAGATCGATACTCATGCAATGCAAGGCTGCAAGTTCAAGTGCAAGATAATTACCAACCGAAATGTCTTCGGATTATCGTATTTTTCTGCCATTCAACATAAATCAAGACGAGAACAGCATCGCAAGTCTCAACGAAAGAAACAGACTGGAGCATTTTCGTCATGGCAAAGCACGTCGGGGTTTCATCAAGAATCTTCTATTTTAAGCTTGTCTATTGAAGGTTTCGAGGTCGAAGATGCTTTCCTTACTACAGCTCTGATTGACGGGACGTCACAAAAAGCCAGCTCAAGGGAGTTGAAGATTTTAACACACTCGGCTATTCCAACGGACGGGAGGTTACAAGAGGTCGTTTTGCAACTAGACGATGGTGGTTCATGGCGGCTTTCCATGGATTTACAAGCTTCGTGCAGATTTTCCTATGGCAAGAACGCAGATGAAGGTGTTTTTCTCCTGGGAGAGAGAGTAGTTGCTCGGATTCCCCCCCCCCCTGTATGCTTGGAGGAGGAGCAACCATGGCTGCTGCTGCACTTTTACCTCATGCAGCCGAGATAGCTTCTGTCACACCACTCAAGAAGCTGATGTATTCAATTTCGTAAGTTGAAAAGGTTTCATAAACAACGTTCGGACAAGGTTTTGGGCGGGTCCCGAAAGTACACATACATTTCATTTCGTGAAAAGTAACCCGTTTCTGGATTTTCGTCAGTCGCGAAGTCTATCGTCAGGACACCTTGCTGAGTGTAAAAAATCTCATGACAGCAAACACAAAATGTGGTACGTACAGTACTGACACTAAAAAGTACGTACTTGACGCACCGTGTGGGCAATGCGAAACCCCCAATTTCGCAGTATCGCTACTGGACGAACTCACCACGATGTCGCCAATTCGTCTTGAAATGTCAAATCTGTCATATTCGCGCGATGCAGGGTTTCACGACAAACAAAATCTGGTAACATGACGAGATTCGGTTTTGAAGTCGCAGTACTGTATCCCCGCAAGTGGTTGTCCACACTTTGGAATCTGGATTATTTCGGAGCCATGTGTACGTACCTGCAACGTGTTTTTACCAACCATGCAATGTGGGTTTTTTTTACGTAAAGTTGCGTCTAAAATCGAGTGCGTACTTTCGGGACCCGCCCTTAGTCCTGACGTTGGATTCGGACCGTCCGAAAATTTGGTATCCGAACTGTTTTGGACGGTTGTCTGGACTTTTACTGTCAGAAGTAGGAACATAAGAATTACTAGAATAAGAACAGTACAGGATTGTATTGTCAAAGTAACGAACGAGAAAATGAATGAACTATGAAAGAGTTGGGTACAAGTACTAACCCTAATTGGGTTGTACCCCTTGTGGGCTACCCCACTACAGCCTACACAAATGTATAAGCTATAATGTTCTGACATGTATAGCTAACCCTAAAGTGTTGTACCCTTAAGGGTTTGCCCCACTACAGCCTACCGAGAACAAATACAATTTGACACACCCCCATAGGCAAAGTGGGTGATAGCAAACACAGCGGACGGTCACAAGACCACTCAAGCAAGAGAACAAAGCAAAGCAAAGCTTGGGGTGGATCTCAAGATCACCACGCATTCTGAGCACAAGCAAGCGGCGGCAGGGCCAATTCACATGCAGAGTTGTAAAAGCACAAGCAGTACAGTGATCACAACCTAGTAAGAACAAGCGTGCAGGTGTATATACATTGAGGTCACAGTACAAGACAAGTCAAGAAACCAACAGGTGAGACAGAGTAGGCACAAGACCTAGAGCAGTGCAGAAACGCTGATGATCACCAGACCCAAGGGCCTTGGTGAAGACATCAGCAGTGTTGGCCCGAGAGGCCACGTAAGCAAGACGCAGCTGACCACGCTGTTGCAGCTCCCGAGCAAGAAAGTAACGAAGAGCAATGTGCTTCGTTCTTTGCTCCAGTCTCTGCTCCTTACACAAGGCCATCATGGCTTTGTTGTCAACATACAGGACCGGAGGAGAACGAGGCCGCTCACCCAAGTCGGTCAGAAGGTAGGTCAGCCAGCGTAACTCCTGTGCAGCCACGGCCCCAGCGTAGATCTCGGCCTCACAGCTGGAACCAAGCATAGAAGACGAACGAGTGGACCTCCACGAGACAGAACCAGAGTCGAGACTGGAAGAGTAACCCTGGGACGACCGCTGAGTCGCCTGGTCGTCAGCTTAAGAAGCGTCGGAGTGTCCTGTGAGTACCATTGGACCCCGTCCTCCAAGCACAAGCCCCATGCCCGATGTACTGCACAAATAACGCAGTACCCTCTGTGCAGCTGTCCAGTGCTCCTTCCTGTGTCACCCGGGGGTGACAAAGCGAGCAAGGATGCTGAAAGGGTACGCGAGGTTAGGTCGTGTGCACGTCATCAAGTACATGAGGCAGCCCACAAGCTCTGGATACGAGCCACTTGGCTCTACGGACTCGTCCGAAGGTGGAGCTGAGAGCGAGTGGTTGGTAGCTAGAGGAGTGGGCTGTGGCGAGGAGAACCGAAAGCGGAAGCATTGAAGGACCTGGTGCACCATGTGTGACCGAGACAAGGTGATGGTGCACTGTGCTCTGTCCCGGGTAATCTGCAAGCCAAGATAGCT